ACATAGACTAATCACCTTAGATAGTGTGAGTAGGCCGAAGTCAAGAGCCCGTTTTGACATTGTCAAGTCAAAATCATAAATAGTCTAGCACTTATGTGAAAATATTGCATTATTATTAGCTAATAGTTAAGATGTAATTCCAGCTACGTAAAATAATGGAAGAACAAAAAATACATTAAGAAATGCGAACACATTTTATAGAATACACGCTGGTAAAAATTAATTTATAAAGGCAATGCAACTAAACTTACTGATCTTGTTCATCTCCGGAACCACCAGCATTAGGACTACATGGCCTGACAAATTGAGGGCCAGGAGCCAATTCAAAATATCCCCCTGCCCCAGAAGGACCATGTAACCCGGGAGCATGAAGTCCAATTCTGTCAGCGGTCATACCAGTGTCTAGTTCATCGTGGCGCTGTTGATGGGCTAGAAACCCGCCGGCATTGGGGTTAGCCAGGAATAGATTTCTCTACAAGGAAGAATAAAATAAGCACTCAAAATGATACAAAATTTGGCAAATTTAAAGAGATCTTACCGTCCTTACGGGGGTGATCGTCGAAATATTACCACCCTGACTTACAAGTTGTCCAGCGGGTCTTAAGGTAAGCACTCTAGGGACAGAACCAGCCCCACCTGTGAAAACTGTACGAGCCATGCTTAAATTTTGTTGGATACCAGATGCAGTAACAACTTTGATGTTTCTCTGAAGCATATTCCTTGGGATAACTGCAAGAAAATTTAACGAATATTAAGCTGGAGAGCCAAAGTCGTGCAATTAAAATTTTGTTAAAGTTACCAGCCGCACGAATAGGTTTGCCACCAATGCCTTGACCTGGAACTGTGATAATTTTAACGGCCTAGTAGAAACAAAAAAAAAACAAGTGAAAGGATGACATTATTCCAGCAAAGCAAAAATATCATGCAGTCTAACGCAGAAAAGATATCTAGGTAGATTACCTTAAGCCCAGAAGAACCAAGAACTTGTCCTCCTGAAATCCCTAAGCCAGTAGGCTGACCTGCCCTTTGAAGCATTATTATTCGAGGCATTTTATTAGGAGTTTGTCCATGATGTTGCAAGGAAAGACCAACTGGACTTTGGACAATTATATTTCCAGGATTTTGACTAGCGTGATACATAGAAATTCCTCCCGTGCCACCAACGAATCCGCCATTGTGATCATTAGAGCCAACAGTTACTTCTTGTTCAGCAGCTGGTATCTCAAAAAGATCACCTGAAACTGGGTAAGGTTCTGGTTTATACTCCATCCAATCTGAGGTCACATTAAATGTCGCGAATTTCAGAA